GCTGCGGGGACAGGGCAAGGGGGACACTGCGGTCCCTGTGGTGCGATGGCGGCAGAGCTGCCCCTTCCCCGGCTCCAGTGCTCACCTCCATGAGCTCGTCGATGAACTGGCTCCGCGTCTCGGTGTTTTCCAGGAGCGTGAGGGCGTCAGAGCCGCAGGCGACCCCCTCGGGCACTGGGGAGCAAAAACCAGGGGTGAGTGGGGCAGGGAAGGGGTCTCCACAGCTCAGTCACGTCCCCCACCCCAACCTGTCCCACTCAGGCTGCTCAGCATCACCCCTTGCCGTTTAGGGGTGTCCTCGCCAGGTCTTGGTGCACAACCACGGTGCCCAGGGCCACTGCAGGCAGGAAATGGGGGGATGCTGCCTGCCACCCCCTGGGACCCACCACGTCCCTTCAGAGCTGCACTCACCCTCAGTGCCCGCCTCCAGCACTGTGATCTGCACCTCCTCGCTTCCACCGTCCCCCCAGTCAATGCCATCACCCTGCTGTGAAAAAAGGGGCACCCCATGAGATGGGGGTGCCTGGGACACCCCCCCATCCACAGCCTGGCCCCGGAGCAGGGCCAGAGCCCAGGATCACCTGAGGGCTGGGCTCCACCGTGATCCCCCAGTCGATCTCCTCGCAGTCGATCTCCTCGCCCTGGGCTCCCCCATCGGCAGCAGCGCCCTCGTCCACCTTGGTCGGCTCCAGTGTGAAGTCTCCCCAGTCGATCTGCAGGGAGAGGGACAAGAGACCTCCCTGAAACCCTGGGGGCAAACAAATCCCTCACCCAAAACCCCACCCACACAGGGCAGAGCCAACTGGGGCTCCCCCCAGCACCACACAGGATGTACCACGTCCTCCTTCGGTGGCTCCGGTGCCTCCTCCACCTCTGGCCGCTCCACGCGCAGGGGCTGGAGCCCCGTCCTCCACTCGTACACAGTCGTGTTGCCTTTCTGCCCCACGTACCGCAGCAGGGGCACCACAGGCTCTGAGGAGCTGGCAGCCACCACAGGGACATCAGCGTCACCGCAGGGACCCCCCAGCAACCCCCAAATCCCTCAGGGAGAGCCCCAGCCTGGGTGCGGCCACCCAAGCCACTGTCCCCACATGTGGAGAGATGTCATGACTTAACCCAGCACAGGAGAGATAATGGGGGGGTCTACCCCTGTACCCCCCACACCCACCTCTCGCACACGAACTCCACGCAGGCCTGGTACAGCTCGATGGCCTCGGACAGTGCACTGGCTCCTGCCCCGATCTCAGACAGCAGCGAGGGCAGGTCCTTCACCAAGGCCAGCAGCTCCTGGCGCACGTTGTCACCCTGGGGACAGAGCAGGGACGTGTCAGAGTGAGGAGGTTGGCAGCCAGGGCACCCCCAGGGTGGCTTCACCCTCTGCTTGCAGAGCTAAATGTGGGCAGGAAGGGGTCAGAGGGCTGTGGGGTCACCCCACACCCCTCAGCTCCTCCTGCAGGTAAGGTGGCACCGTGGGGACATCCTCTGGGACACGTGGTCCCAGCTGGGGGCCGCGTTGGGGAGGGAGGTGGCACAGCAGGACCCCCTCGGCCGCAGGGACTCACGGTGATGCCGTACTGCTTGCAGGAGGCGAAGAAGCGCTCCCG